AAAACATGACCGGGACACCGTCACAACACGACCGGGACACCATCAAACATGCCCGGGACACCATCACAACATGACCGGGACACCATCACAACATGACCGGGACACCTTCAAAACATGACCGGGACACCATCACAACATGACCGGGACACCATCAAAACATGACCGGGACACCATCAAAACAGGACCGGGACACCATCACAACATGACTGGGTCACAATCAAAACATGATCGGGGCACCATCAAAACATGACCGGGACACCAGCATCACATGACCCGGACGCCATCAAAACATGACCGGGGCACCATCCGCCCACCAGCTCTGACGGTGACCCGACGGCGCCCGTCCGCCTATTAGTTTTGCAAGACCCCATAGCAGGGCTATTGGGGAACAAACTTGCACCATTGCTCAGATCATCGGTGAGCGTTGAATCGGAGCGTCATAGGGTTTGAACTATCCTGAAACCATGAGAGGCTCACGAAGACGTTCCCCAGGAGAGAATTGAATTTAGAGGGGGATTAGAGGGGGTGGGTGAAAGAGTGACTAGGGCGTACACGGTAGAGGTGCAGACCGCTAGTGTCTTTTATGCGCAGAGTCTTATCCTCTTGCTCTTTGAGCCTTGAAGCAGTCAAGTATGGACACACTATATCGGCTGTTGGAGTGGAACCCTGTACAGGTAGGCTCTACTTTTCAGCAGGCACAAGATTCATGTCCACTCCTAGCTGATTGCGTATGTCGCACACTCTTTTTCTACTGCAAGGCTAAAACAGTCCAGCTAGCTCTAGCAACTTAAAAGAAAACTACGGTGCCATGTACTTACCTAATCCAGTGTGTTTCACACTATAGAGAAGGTAATCTCAAAGCTACTAAATACAGTGAGGGAGCAATAGCTGACTCACCTCAAGTACAAAATCAAAACGATAATGTACCTCGGCTGGAGACTGTATTTTTCACAGGCGGAGATACCATGTACCGGCGCTCACTAGCTCTTTATGGCCTGAGCTAAATCAAACTAAAAAGGGAAAGCGGCTTTTTCTCTACAGAGACCTATAAAAGAATCAAACGACACTCGCGTAACAAGGAAACAAAAACTCAAGACCGCGCAAATGCAATTAATTAAAATGCCTTGCAAAATGCAAGGAGCGTACGGTCCGAGGAATAATCTTCTCGTGACGTGGTCTCGACCGCTTTCATCCACAGACAAAATAAAACTGCATCAAAAGGACTCTCTTTCACATTCACATCAAAAACACAAGAAGGAGATACCGGCAAATGTATGTACAAAAAAAATCTTGCACTACAATTGCAAATCATGAAATGACTTAATCATCAACCATGACTGGTTGTCCATTAGAGGTCACTTCATAAGAGCGGTGGTGATAGATATCATCAGTTATGTAAAACTGTCCATATCTACCTGCTAAAGTTTAAAACTTCAGCCCGGCAACTTAAAGTCAAGCTTGGAAGCAAAGTATCAACTGTAACCAGAAGTATCTTCACTTCCTAGCCATCATTTAAATTTCAGCCTTCGCTCAGGAATTATGCCGCTGCAGACGATGAAGCTGCTTGATCAGAAGTTGGCGGCCTTCCTTTCTTTCTATTCTGCTTCTGTCTCTCCTTCCTCCGCAAGTTCGCCTCATGAAGAGTTGCTCCCATGCGATACTGTCTTCTGTCTCCAGATGAAAAGGAAGCTGGTCTGAGTGAAATAAACATTGGACCATGACTGTCCTCGTCAGAGGGTCTTGAGCACATAACCTCCGTGTCAATCATAGCAAAGTTCTCTGAAAAATTACAGATGAACTCCTTCGTGCTCACTGTGGA